GATGCATACCATTCGTCAAAGAAGACGACATCGATTTCGCCACCGTTGATGAATTCATCAGAATCCTCACATTGGGCATCGGAGGTGATGTCGGTGGTAGTCTCGTGAGATGTGATCGCATTGGCGTTGACGAAGCGGCCTGTCAGTCTGGCTTTCGCCTTCGCTACTCGCGACTTCTTCGTCGGTCTCGCCATGGCAATGTGTGGGTTCAATTGACATCCGGTTAATCATACATACAAATTTCAAGTGATCAGGCAGACACCCCTAAGGCCAAAAGTTGACCTCGTCCATATATTCCTAAGAGAGGAGGGGCCAGGGAAAATTTTAATATCTCAATCATTTCTTTGTATAAACTCAATCCGAGACACAAGTTCTCTTCCTCTTGTCCAGCTCTATCGATTTTGTGGTCTTAGCATTCCTACTTTTGAATCCCCCAGGAGGAATAACTTCCCAAGTGGGACTCAAATTCTCGTCGTTTCTAGGCTTCTTGCACCATATTCATGAGTATTATGCAGTACCGGTAAAATTATTTCAGAATTACTACGTAGTATTACTGACAGTGAGTACTTGAAGTATTTTTTTACCGGATGAATTTAGTCCTCCGGATACGACACATTTGCACTTTCATGCTTTTTGGAGTTCAACGCCAAGCTGGCTGCTTGCTCCGACATCGGCTCGGCTTGCGCAGCATTGCGAGCTTGAGACCTCCTACGACCAATGCGTTGGTTACTGGGCCACGTCCCAGCCATGGACAGTCGTCGCCGGCTGGTCGGCGACTTCAGCTGGTAGCAGGTCTCGCACTGACGATGGCATTGGCAGGTGCGGGCGCCATCCATGGACGCGACTCAGTGTTTTGACGTAGACGAGCGATCTCAAGCGAAAGCACGGGGTGACCTGCCCATGACTCGTAACTCCATCGCCGATGCCGTGGAGAAGGCGGCGCCAGGCGTCGTGAACATCACGATCTACTCCCACCACCAGCCGACGAGTTCAGGATCTGGGTTTCTCATCGACCCGTCGGGACTGGTCGTCACCAACGCTCACGTCGTGGCCCATGTCTCTCGCCACTCGTCCATCACGGTACTACTAACAGGATCATCTGCCGCCTGCTATACATGCTCGGGTTTAGGTGACTCTCGAAAACGGGCAAAAGTACGAGGCAACCGTTCACAGCTTTGACACCAAGGCAGACTTGGCGCTCGTGCAACTCAATGGTGCGTCCAACAGTTCTAACCATTCAAGTATATGACGTGGCAGCACGACAGACCCCCCTGCGACCAAGCTCCCCACTGTCGCGATCGGAACCTCGTCAAGTGTCCGTGCGGGCGAGTGGGTCATCGCTCTCGGCAGCCCTCTGTCTCTCCAGAACAGTGTCAGCGCCGGCATCATCAGCGCCACCGCGCGTCGGGGCAGCGAGCTCGGGTCGGTGTTGTTGTCCTCTGTGTTCGACTAATTTTGTGCGACGTTCAGCCAAACTTTGGATTTGTGTGCTGATTCGCCAAATCCATCGATCGATTGTTTGTGCTGAATTTTGTATGTAAAACATGGCCAGTTTCACCCTAATTCAAGTCATGGCCACTTGAATAGTGTTCTGGGTTTTGATTGGTCGATCGATTTGGCGCTGCTCGTACCCCCCACTCCAATTTCGAATCGACTTGACTATATGATGTGTTGTGTGCTGTCCATCAGTTTATAAGTGGATTGTCCTTTTACCTGATTCGCCAAATCTGTCGATCGATTATATGTACTAAATTTGTAATGTAAAAGGTGGTACTGTAGTGCTTGCAATCACACTAATTGAAGTCCCACACTAATCAGATGTTGATGTAATCTCATTGGCTCAATACTATAGCACATTTGGTTGTGTCGATTATTCATTCTCCATATGTCGCTCCAGTTTAGAATAAACACACTACAATGCGTACTTTTGTATTGTGCATTTCACCCAAATTTGGACTTAAAGATTGCATTCGAATCCATTTGATCCTATTTAATCTTGTACACACTATACTATACAACGATTAATATAACTGTGGTTTTGCCCAATGCGGAGGGGTCAAACGTATTGGCAGAGAATTGACATGACGTGGTTTGATTGGCTCAGGCGGTTCTTTCATCGATTCTCCAAAGACATGCAATTCTGCTGAGGGCTCCAGTTTCGAATCGATTTGACAATATATATATTGATATTGTCAAATATGCTTGTAGGTTTGCGCCGTCGCATCGCACCGAGTTTCTTCAAACAGATGCCGCCATCAACGTGGGCAACTCGGGCGGGCCGCTGGTCAATTTGGACGGCCAAGTGATTGGCATCAACACGATGAAAGTGGCGGGAGGTATGCCGTACACGTAGTCGTTCGTTCCTACATGGTTGTTATGTAATATATATATATAATTATATTAGGCATTTCTGGCATTTCGTTTGCGATTCCCATCGATGGCGGCATGCAAGTGATTAACCAGCTCCGCCAGCACCGCACCGTTACAAGACCCTACGTTGGCATGCAAATGGTGGAATTTGGCGGCACCATCCTCCCCGACATCGCCAAGTAAGTCGACATTTAGATATCTATTTCCAGGTTGGAATATCTATTATCTTTGTCATTACGATATATTTTTATTTGTTGATAGATTGTACCCGTCTATACCCCAAGGAGTGGTGGTCAAGTCGGTGGCCCGTGGGTCACCCGCCGAACAAGCTGGCCTTCTCCCTGGTAACCACTGTAGTTGGATGGAAATAGTGTAACGAGATACACTATATCTAGGTGATGTGATTATCGAGTTTGCCGGGTCGAAAGTAACTAGTATCAAGGACGTCGTGGCGACTCTTGGGTTTAGCGTCGGTCGAAAGATGTGCATGAAGGTACTGCGAGGCGGAAGGGCCGACCAATCACACACGGTCTGCTTTGTCACTACAGATGCATCCAAACTGTAGTTAGTCATACTACTAAGCTGATAATATACTGCTACTAGTAGTAGTAGTAGGTACAACCATACTAGCGTCTTGTAACCATGGCCATACTAACGTTATGAATACTTATTGCTAATACTAATACTAGTAATACTAAGTTGCTACTATTACTAGTAGTTCGTATAGGTATAATATTAATGTTAGTGTAATCATACTGTACTACTAGTTAGTTAGCTTCTCTGGAGTATACTGGTACTGTAGTAAGCGCCCACGACTGGACGGCCACACAGACCACGCTCGTATAAATACACTGCCAGTAAGTTAGTGCTGCAATTGGAATTGTATTAGTAACTGATTAGTGATTCGCATATGTACACTAGTGCTCCGCCGAACGGTTGTGCCTGACGATCTTTTAACCTACTATGGCTACTAATACTAACCTACTATGGCTACTAATACTAACGATAGAAGAAAATACTCGTGTTTGTTGATTGGCTCGTTCAAACGTGACAAGCCTCGCTCACGTTGTGAGTGGCATCAAAGTGGAATTCCTGTGTACACTGACTTATTGCTGTAATAACGTTAAGGCCTGGATGAAGGTGATAGCTGTGGCGATGGTGACGACGATGGTCTGCGCGGAACTTCGCCAGGTGCTGGTCGTATCCCGGCACGGCGTGCGCGGGCCGTACGGTCCGGAGGGTCTGCCGCCGACGGAGGCCAACATGCAGCGCTACTCCAAGGACAAGTACCCATTCCCGGTCAAGGCCACGGACTGGGGCACGTCGGACGACGCGACGGAGCTCGTGTCGCCCAAGATCACCAAGCACGGCGCCCGAGTCATCCGCAACATGGGCGAGGTGACATCCTCATTCGTCGACATGTCATCTAAGTGTTGGCTGCTGCTGCTAGTAGTACTTTGCCAAACACTTGTATCCGTCGTATATGGCTGCCGCCGCCGTCACGACCTCCCCTGCATCTGCTGTGTGTGCGGACGCCTTTGCCTACGCCGACGACAACGAGCGCGATTATGTACGCCAACACAGCATATTTCGCCTTATTGTATGTTTCCATGTGATAATTTTCTAGTTGACGGCGCAAGAGTTTCTCCACGGGTTCCTTCCACACTGCTCCGAGCTGTCGCCAGTGATCAACGGCACTCGCCTGCTCTTTGAGCAAGGCCAAGACCCCACCGCCACATGCCCCGTGGCGTCCCAAGCTAGTACGTTCTTCGTCGTCGTAGTACTACTAGTAGTAGCCGCTACAACTAAGTTCGTGTAGTGTACCAAGGTATCGTGGGCGGCCCGACGACAGACAACGTAGCGAGGCAGTACGCAGTCGAGATCTCGTCGCTCAATTCACTGCTCGGGTGCTGCGAGCCCGTGGTCTGCGGACTTCGAAATGCCACCGACCAGTGCGACTTGTTTCATGTGCCGTCGGCGTGGGTATGTATTAAACAATAACCTACTACATATATACATATAAATGTATACATATATATACCTATATATATATATATTATATATACATATACATATAAATATAAATATATATATATATATACATATAAATATATATATATATATATATATACCACAGAGTCGTATGGTGACTTGTGCATGCTTTGTATTTCGTAGACGGGCAAATTCTACGAGCCATGGCAGGATTCGCTGTCGGAAGCGCAGTTTCTATCCGAGTGGTTTTTGCTTCAGAGCCTCAACAACATGTCGTTGCCACCGGCCATGACGCTCGCGGACGTCGTGTCGTTGGGGGTGATTCACAAAGTACTAGCCAAATATTTTACATATTTATGATATATATGCTATATTTTGAATTGTTTCTATTGCTGTTTATGATGTATGATATATTTTGGTCACCAAGTTGTTGTAGTGGTCAGTTTTCCATATATATATATATATATTTGTGTTTTGAACGGTTTGCATACATTGGTAGGTGCACATGGATTTGATCACGAACGAGTTCAACTCGGAGAACTTTGGGTCGACTTTATTGGTGCATTTGGTCGCAAGTATGCAGCAAACGATCCAGCAGGCGTCCCCAGTGTCCGTAAAGTCAGGGAATAAGTCAGGGAATCACCACGACGACGACGACGACCAAGGACCTCATCTGTTGCAAAGCCTGTCCAACAAGTTTTTGTTTTATGCCGGTCACGACATCAACTTGCTGTTTCTGAAAAACCTGTTGCGGTATGATGTATATATATATATATGTATATATTTTGGCTGATATATACTTGACTTTGATAGCTTG